TCGGAAATTGGTCGGAAGGCGGAGCCTTGCGTTTCTTCTTGTTGCAAGCTGTCGGTATCACCATCGAAACTACTGTGATCGGCATTGCCAAATGGCTCTCCATTCGCGGGTCATGGCACCGTTATGTTGGATACGTTTGGGTCATTATGTGGTTTACATATACGATTCCGGACTGGATGGATCCATTGCATCGGGCGGGATTTGCATCGTTTTCGAATTTTGGCATATTAGACCGTATTTTGGGATGAGTTCGGGCTGATTGTATATTTTCGATCTCGGGACAAGTTCCAAGTCGTAGACGTAATATACGAGCATCATATTCCGAGCATGAATAACTAGTGACTTGCTTCGTGAGCGAACCGACGCGAAGCCTTCCAAGTTGACTGGTTGCCCTGATTGTGACGGCATATGGTGAATTTACCGATTAACCTCCATTCTTCATTTTCATGCATGAGGTGCAGCTCAGCCTTGGCAATGATGCAGGCAATCGCATCAATGACGCGTCCTTTGCAGTGAAAGTGGTTCCACTTTCCGACCCTCAAGCACTGCTCATTCACCCATTTCCGCAGCAGTACATTTAAAACTATTATGCGACTCCTTCGCTCATTCAATCCACCAACATGGTGAACATCGCCACCGCGTCTGCGCTACTCTTCCACTTCACAGCCCTCGTTGTGAAACCATCCCAATACAAGCGCTTCTTCATCGTACCCATCATCCTGGGCACCGCATCTTTTTTCCGGTCCCCACTCAACTACCATTCCGCGCCGGAATACTCCCGCGCGTGCCTATTTCTTCTGCACCTTTTGATAGCTTCAGATTATATCCTCCTAACGGACGTTCAACGAGACTTGTTACCAAAAGGACAAAAAGAGCCCACATACCGCCTCTCCCTATTCCAACGCATCAAACGGGCTGCTTCGTTAGTTTATCAACCCCCGCTGCATTGCATGGTCCCATGAGCCAACCCATGCTTTACCTCCACCCCCGCTACCTTCCGTAACGCGTCAAAAGTTTATCTTACAAGAACTTGGCCGACTGGCGCGCGATATCGTCCTGTTTGAAGTTTTTACTACATACAGCATGAGAACGGATTACTTCTCGATTGATGGCCGTTCGATGGCTGCGGATGGTTTATTTTGGCAAATGGTGAACATGCTTGTGTACTGGAACTAGCGCCATGGTGTCTATGAGCATACCCCATCGTGTAATGGGCATCTTGGGAGTCCTTGTTGGGTTTCGTGAAGCCTCAAGATTGGGTACCTTTCTTTGGTTCTCGTCTTGACGCGTATACCTTGCAAAAATTCTGGGGGTGAGTAACAGATTTTTGTTTCTTGTTGGCTCTGAGAGTTAATGTAATATATAGGCGCGTATGGCATCAGCTTCTACGACGAGTACGTGGTTTATCAACTTGTACCTGACGGTATAAAGTAACGTCTCGTTTCAGCAAGGCGCCTCGCATGGTCACTTTATCGCCTACGACGTTCTCCGTCTCAAGAAAGGCACAAAGGCGTCTTTTTACGTACAAATATACGTTGCATTTGCATTATCGGCCATGATACACGTCGCCGGTGATTATTCCCTACTCGGAAACTGGTCGCAAGGCGGTGCCTTGCGTTTCTTCCTGTTGCAAGCCGTGGGTATCACCATCGAAAATATGGTCATTGACACTGCCAAGTGGCTCAACATACGTGGATCAGTGGCGCATTGTTGGATATGTTTGGGTTATCTTGTGGTTTACGTATACAGTTCCGGACTGGATGGATCCATTGCATCGGGCGGGGATCGCATCGGAAACTTCAAACTTTGGCATTTTAAACCGTGTTTTGGACTGGATTCATTAGAACACGTCCATGCCGTACAGTGCCATATCTGCATTTGATGATCTGCTGTACGTTTCAGTCATTGCTCAACTCCACGTCGTACTGCGGCTGACTTTATCACCAGGGCACATCCCTGAATTACACAAAACTAGCGATGCTACATAATATGTTAAAACTACATAAATACACTACCGCGCTATTCAACTTTCAACTCAAAGCTTTCAGTATGGCACTGAATATCCCCAAGGATGGGATCGTCTGCGCCATGCCTCCCCGAAGAAGTGGATCTATGAATCCAGGAGCAACATAGATGAACCACATGACAACCCATAGATAACCTATGAGACGCAAAGGCAAGGGGACAGATGGCTTGTGAGCCATCCCAACAACCATCGATTCAAGCGTGATTGCAACAGGTTGCAAAAGGAAAAACCGCAACGAGTGCCTATGAGTCCAGTATCCGATGAGCGAATATTCGCCAGCTACGTGGATCACGGCTGATACTGCAAACGTGGTGTATAGTTGCACCAGAAATGCAGCTTGTGATCGTCGTTTTAGACGGAGAATGTTATATGCTAGGAAACGCCCATGAGAGACACCCAGCTAGAGATGTAATTGAGTATATATTATCATGGAATACAACCAATATTCTCACCCAACGGTTCATTTGATGCCACACGCGACTGAATGGCTCCTTGATAAGCAAATGATGTATACATTAACGAGCTACTATGCTCACCCCCAAAAGTTACGCAGTGTATATGCTTCGCGAAAGTCGCCAAAGAGAGGTACGCAATCTTGAGGCTTTGAAATTCCAAAGTAGACGCACAAGATGCAATATATGCGGTGTGGTATACGGATCGACACCAATGAAATGAACCCCGTGAGTAACACGTTGAGGGTACGCCAATAGATTCCATCGTCAGCTATCGACGGTCCACCGACGGCGAAGCTAGGATTGTGTTTTGCGTATGTGACGCAAGCGTCGAAAAAGATGAGATCCAAAACCAATGCACGAATTTCTTGATTCAGGTATACCGTACGTGTGAGGGAGGGTGGGGGTGGAGGTGGAAGTGCACTTGTTGGTTCATGAGTCCATCCAATGCCACGCGTACTGACGCACAGCTTTATCGCCCATTTGATACGCTCTGCAAGTGGAAGACGATACGCGGGTTGTTTTTGACCTTTGATGAATAGTTCGCGTTGGACGTCGGTAATCAGGATGTGACTGGAAGCTAGGAAGAGATGCGACAACGCGAAACTTGCATACGAGTACTGGAACGGGTTGTGATATCCAAAAGTGGATTGATAGAAATACAGAACGGTTAACGCTATGGGCACGATGAAGAGTGGTCTATAAGGCGATGGCGGGACGACCAAGGCGGCGAAGTAGCAAATCCGAGCGATTGCAAAGGAGATGTGCAAGGAGATGTGCATGGTTAGAGTCGAGGTTGCTACGGATCAGTTTTAGGGTCGCCCAGGCTTGGCCTCCCGCATTACGTTACTGAGCGCCCAAGATTTGAATAGAATAGGCGATGAGTATGAACCTAAATGAAGTGAGAGAAAAAAAGTCGTCTAAACAAAACGGAATGCGATCGTGTGCCTCATAAGGAAGGCTCCGGAAGTCTATTAGAATCGCAACAAGAACTGACGTTTCATCGTCTGGAATCTGATATTAGTCACTTTCTAGAACTGCTCTACTTCTTTAAATATGCTAATAAAAAATGAAGCGGGAGCGACCTAAGCCTCAAGTACTGAGGACTCTTAACCCCAAAGCACTCGATGCCCTAAACAAGGTAGAAAATATACCAAGAGATGGAGAATCCTTGAGCAAGTCCTGACAGAAGGGGCGGATCTAGCATGTAAGGAGCAGTAAAGAAGAACCACGTAAGGACCCATAGGTATCCCATGGCACGCGTTGGCGGCCAACGTACGGGAAGCCTGCTTCCCCATTCTATGACCATGGTTTCGACATGGATGCCCACCGCTTGCAAAAGAAAAAATCGGAACGCGTGTCTAGAAGACAAGTATCCAAGGAGCGAAAATTCACTAGCAACATGGATCACTGGCTGTTATCATAAATGTGGTATACAGTTGCACCAAAAATGCTGCTTTAGATTTCCGTTTTAGATGGAGAATGTTATAGGCTAGGAACCGCCCATGAGAGACACCCGGCTAAAGGGAGTTAATTTAGTGCACTGCGTATGATGAGTTTTAATGATGCATCTCACCCAGCGTAAAGTCTGATGCCACGAACGACTGAACAATTCATGATGAGCAAAGGAACTGTATATTAATAAATTTCACTCACCCCCAGAACCGTTGCAAGGTGTATCCATCCCGAAAGTCACCGAAGAGAGGCACGCACTCTTGGGGCTTGTAGATTCCAAAGTAGACGCACAAGATGCAATATATGCGGTGGGGTACGCCGATCGCTATAGATCCACCTAATCCTATGACTAACACGGTTATGGCGCGCCAGTAAATCTCTTGTTCAACTAAGGGGTATCCACCGGCGGCAGAACTTGGAATGCGTTTGGCATACGTGATGTACGCGTCGTAAATGACGAGATCCCGCACCAACGTCCGAATTTCTTGATTCAAATATGCCGTGCGTGTTATAGAAGGCGAAGGTGGAGGCGGAAGTGCTTGTGTCGGCTCGTTGTTCCATCCAACACAACGCTGACTGAAGCACAGGTTCAGGGCCCATTTGAGGCGCTCTACAAGTGAAAGGCGGTATGCAGGCCACTTTTGACCTTTGACGAACAGCTCGCGTTGGACGTCGATTATGAGAATGTGACCAGATGCCTGGAAGAGTTGTGCTTATGACAGTGCTGGCATAGGTATAGTCGAACGGGGAGGGGTTTGGCAGAGCCGACCGAAAATAATGTAGAACTCCCAGCACTATAGGCACCATCAAGAGTGGCCTATAAGGTGTTGGCGGAACGGCTAAAGCAACTGATGTAGAAGACCCGAGCAGTTTCGAAGGAGACATACGGCGAAACGGTCATCGGTGGACTTCTGTTGGGCAGCTTTGGGCGCAGCGCTCTCGGGTGATGGAATGGGCTGTGCATAGTTGATTCGGCGGCAGGTCAAGTGTTCGAGGACACAGTTGAACCTGAATGAATCGACGCTTTCTACCCTCTTATGAATATATATGGTCACACTAACCCATGTGCCCTCTTGGCTCAGTTGGTTAGAGCGCAGGTCTCATATGACAGTTATGAGGAGTCATTTGACTCTGCAATCCTGAGGTCGCAAGTTCGAACCTTGCAGAGGGCAAGTTATTTTTTGATTGAATCAGTTATGTTCCAGAACCTGCTTTTGCATTCACTTCTATCTATCTACAAAGGATATATGCCATAAAGGAGTAGAGAACGTGAACCAGCCCATAACCCAAAGGTATCCAAGCAATCGTCTAATAGTAGGGTTGGACCTTGTAAACCCAAATGCTATCGCCAAATATACAAGTGAAGGTATCCTCTATAAATATAGCTGTCGCTTGTGAAAGGAAGAAATAGAAGGCGCCATGCCAGTCTCCAATGAATATCCAATCGGCAATTGCGTGAATCAAAGTGGAGGCGAGGAAGGCAGTGAGAATCTGCACGTAGAAGAACGTTCGCGTTCCTTTCTCTAGGCGCAGCACATGCTGCGATAAGAAAGTGCTATGGCTTGCAGTGAACTATGCCAAAGTTGAGCTTAGTCATTCTACAAGTGGAAATGGCTCTCTCTCTCACCCTCCGCAACATTTGGTGCCAAACTCGTCTTGGAAACCAAGCAATTAGCACTGCGCTACATAGACCTGTAGGGACATGAACTTACCCCCAAAATCTTCGTATTGTATAAGCCTCGCTCCATGGTCCAAACAAAGGAATCCAATCTCCTGGCTTCAGACGTCGTGCATGCACGAGAATCAAACTGAGAAGACGATGGACGCCATCGAGGAATACGACTATTGGGGTTGCCCAGACAAGAGCATTGACTGGCCGCAAAAGCAGAGGATGCTTAGGCGCATCCCGTTTGTCAGTAAGTGTCGACGAGGAGAAAGAGAAAAGTGTAGAATGAGAGGCGCGTGACTTGATCAATCGTGAATTTCGTGAGACTGTCATTTCGTTCGTAAGCACGTCGCGGTCTTGGTAGGACCTTCGATGGTTCGTGCAGTCCAACCGATCCCCCGAGGACTGCCCACCAGTTCAATGGCCCACTTTAATCTGGAATAAAATGGCAACGTAGAGATGGGGACCGTTTGGCTCTTCAAGCGAAATGTCGCCTGAACGTCCGTTAGGATTAGATAGTCTGACGCGATTATCACGTTTGATAGGTGGCCACAGGTGAAGAGATAGTCGGCTATAAATGGAAGCCCTGTTTTCAGAGGGGAAAACAAGAGGTATATGCTGATGATGACGATGGGAGGAAAGAAGAACCTGCGTGCGCGTGGAGATCTGACTGTCAAAGCCACAAGGAACAGACCCTGGCCGAGGAAAAACAAACCGATTTTCATGGCGAGGGGAAAGATAGAGCGCGCGAACAGAAAAAGGGACATCCGGTTCGAGTCTTCCGAATAGCTCGGCGATAGAGGTGGGCTAGAAGTGCCTCCAATGTTACGCATCTCTAGAACGGTCATCGACTTTTAAGGAAATACCTTTACGATATTGATATCATCGCGAGGCCAATACGCGAGCTGAGCTATACGAAAGCATAACCAATCCCTCGTGCGCTGACTTCACCTTAGATGACCTTGTCTGCGACTCCGTATCTGCCACTGGTTAGTTATACACTTGTGGCGGCGTGCAACTGATCCGCGATGCTTAAGTTGCGTGAAGGCCGGAAGAAGTGGTTTTGCCAGCTACGGTGAGCACGGTGGTAATGTATGCATAGTCTGCGTCGCGCATTTCTGCCAGACCTATCGGCAAACCCTGTAAGTAACGAATATAAACAATCATGGGATTACATAGGATCGTCATGTGCTTCTGGATCATCAAGCTCAGTATACTGGAAAGCTTATACGGTGAGCCTAAGCATGACTTTTTAACTTGTAGTCGGCGATGTTTCCGATGTTATCTGTTCATCTATTTCCGCATGGAACTTCACGGCAGTTTCTTGATCATGTGTCAAGGGCGTGGGCATTGGTCTTTTCTATATGGTTGTTGATTGTGGAGTATCTGCCTTCGCAAGTGTAGGAAGCGGAAGTGATGACGTCATCGCCTAATATTACGCGCGAACTTTGGAGTATTAGTTGTCAGGCGGAAGTGATCGCTAAGCAGTCCGCCCTGCTAAATGGGGCACATGGCGGGTTTGAGGCGTTCAGATAACGTATCTTAAACCTATGAACATCCAAGCGACTGACGTCAGTATTTTCTGATGAAAACCCCAGATAAATTGTTTACCACCCCCAAACTTGAAGGGGGTTCGCGCCACGCTGCGCCCGACAGCAACAATTCAGTTGTTTACACATTTGCGCCAGACGGTTGTTTCCGCCAGAATCGTTATATAAAAACGGAAGTACCATCCGCCGCTTTCTTATCTTTTCCCGCTTTTGAACCATCCTATTATTCTCGCCCCGCCCACCATGCCCGAAGGAACTATGAAAGCCGTGTATTATCATTCGGTACACACATATATGCTGCTCATACACCCGTGTTCATTGTGCAATAGCCCAAAAACTTCGAGATCAAGCAGGTTCCCATTCCTAAACCGCTTGACGATGAGGTTCTGCTGAAAGGTAACAACGCCATATCATTCAAGGATTAACGCGCAACTTACCTTCTTTGTTCATCAGTACGCTGTTGCGGTATAGCTTTCGTCTCCATCGTCGTTCTTCTTGCTAACTTTAGTGTAGGTATGTGCGGCACGGACGCACACATAGATGCGGTTAGTTAAACACCATAGAGTTTTTTTGACATGGATTGACCTAAATCAGTGCATAGGGAGAATTCATCTCCAAGTTTCCCGTAAGTTAGGGAACTGCGCATATATTTAAGTCTTGTTTGACCTCTGCCGGTAGCTGATTCCCGGTCATGAAGTTGTGGGAGAGCTGATTGAAATGGGCAAGAACGTTAAAGGCTTTTCTATCGGCGACCGCTGCGTCTCTGACGTTGGGATTACGGTAAGGCATCATCCAGTGCACATCCTATATGCCTCATATATGCGCCTTAACAGTGCTGACAATTGTTTCTATTGCCGTCGAGGCCAGTCCCTGCTGTGCGAAAATTTCGAATCGCGTGGAGTCACTCAGGATGGTGGTTTCGCTGAATATGTTGTATAGTAAGCCAATCGCGTCTCTTCATTCGCTTCTGCTAAAGGTCCTTTTTAGCAAGCAGCACAAGGTATACAAAATCAATAATCTCACAGACGAGGAAGCAACCTTGCTTGAGCCGGCCGCTTGTGCTGTTCACGGGCTCGACAAGTTGAATCCACCTGTTGGAGTAGAGGCTTTGGTACTTGGAGCAGGGCCCGACAGGGCTTATACTAGCGCAGTTGCTGAAGCTCAACGGTGCTTCGCGGGTGGTCATTGCCGCGAATAAGGGAATCAAGATGGACATTGCTAAGCAGCTCGAAGCTGGCTGATGAGTACATTGAAATGGATAGGCAAAACCCAGAAGCGCAATGGCAAAAGCTGAAACAAGACAATCCGTATGGATTTGACGTCGTTGTTGAGGCCTACTGGGGTAGAAAAATTGGCCAACGAGAGTATTAACTATGTGAGACGAGGTGGTACGTTGATGATTTATGGAGTTTATGAGAACAAAGCGCTGGTGCACTGGCCCCCTTCCAAGGTGAGAACATTGTTGGTCTGTGACATACTAAATTTCACGATGACCTGGACAGATATTCGGCGATGAGATCAAGGTTTGCATTTCGCTATGTACTGCGTCTGCGTAACTCACCTCATATGATTAGATTATTGGATCATTCTCCCAGACATTCTCCTTCCCGCGCGCCGTTGCATATCCTTGATAGCGGAAAAGTGAGGACCAAAGGCATGGTTACAGACGTTTTCAAGTTGGAAGACTTCCAGAAAGCATTGGATAAGATGAGCAGCCGTGGTGCATTGAAAATTGCAATCAAGCCTTGAGAGTACAGAATATTGTTTCATGTTTCAGACGAATGTAAAATAGGCATCCCTTTGTGTTATATTTGTATGACGGCCATGAGTGAGGAGCAGGGGGTGTGTGACACTCGTCACCGCGTCACATCCGCAAACCGCGGGTCCACGACCCAGCCGCAGCGTTCCAGCGGCAAGTGCAATGAATGTCTTTGACTGCTGAACCCCATCTGCGACACAGGGTGCATCTCCCATACAGCATTTGTCGTCTGGAACGATGAAGAATCCAAACTCTGTCCCCGTATATCTATCGACACCCCCTCCAAATGAGCCAACACACCTAATGACAACCCGACAAGCGGCGAAAGATATCGCCCTCGGAAGTGTGAGTTTCAGGCTTATTTGACTGCTCAGTCGTGTAACATAGGCTTTTATAGTTCGCAGGAATGGTTGCAGCTACCTTGGAATACCCATTTGACCTCGCCAAAGTACGGCTACAATCTCAGTTATTGTTCGAAACGAATTCCGCTCCTTTACGATTTAATGGACCATGGGATTGCCTTGTGAAGACATGGAAATATGAAGGTGTGAGAGGGTTGTATAGGGTACGCCTATCTCTTCTCGCGCATATATATGACGTAGTAATCTTGATGGTTCCAGGGATTGCCGATTCCCGTAGTCGGCGCGATGGCCGAGACAGCTGCTCTCTTTCTTTCTTACTCATATTTCCAGAATCTCATCCGGTCCATCTCCAACACGGAAAAAAACTCTCCATTATCGATACCCCAACTAGGACTTGCGGCGGGAGGTGCCGGCTTTGTTACCAGCTTCGTTCTGTAAGTGTCAAAGTTCATTGTATTGAAACACTTTTTAAGAGAAATTTCCGTTGTGTCATTTTATCTTTTGCTCATCCGGCTGATTCATTCCGCACAGAACGCCCATAGAGCTTGTGAAATGCCGGATGCAGGTTCAAATGATGAATATGTCTAATTATATAGATTCACCTTCGGCCCGTAACCTTTCGACATCCGCTGCTGTGTCGAAGTCCACCCTTATTTTCTCCGCCCGTGCTGTCGTTAACGGACTTGGAGCAGCTCCCGCAGCGTTGCCGTCCCAGAGTTTTCACTTCGGATGCACAAGCTTTCCCTCCCCCTCCCGCGCGAGGTTCTCCCCTTCCAGGGCACATTGAAACCTGAGGGTCTATGGAAAATTACGGCTTCCGTCATCCGGACTCATG